CTCTCTCTCTCTCTCTCTCCCTCCCTCCCCCCCTCAGAGCTAATAACCCTAAAGGGCTGCTGGAAGTGAGGGAAGCTCTGGCAAAGGTGCACAAAGTAGAAGACCTTCTTCCGATTATGAAGGTAAATTTGTCATCAAAACCGCGGAGCACCTTTCGGGAGCAAACGGACCTGCCGCAGTCTCTGAGTGGCCGCGCCACGCTTACTAACGTCGTGCCGTGAGCATTTTCAGAGTTATAACTGCGAACATAAACACAGCGAATCGTAACCAAAATGAAAGGAAGCGCGGGCCTCGGACTGCGAGCGAGCAGGTGGCGTCGAAAACAAGAAAACGTAAGAGTGCGCATGGCCGAATTCCGCGTCTGCCCCTGCGGAGCGACCGGCGCTGCACCCCCCACACACACACACCACGCCCGTCGCGAAACCGGGCGGAGCGCAAAGCGACCGTCTTCAGGGGTTGCACGGTCACGAGACTCGAGACGGAGAGAAAGACGCGCACGCGGTGGGCCCCGTGGTCACCTCGCTCTCTGCCTGGGACTGCGTGCTACGCCGCCACACAGGAGCGTCGCCGAGCTGAGGGGCCCGAGACTGGCACTGGGGTCTGCGGACGTGGCTGGGGTCGGCAGGGCGGAGACAGGCGGAGGGAGCCCTGCGGAGCAGGGAGCGCCCGGGAGTCGCCGTGGGAGTGTCACGCCGTCCTGGCCGAGAGGGGGCTGCGCGTGTGCGTTGAGACCCCGGGAGGGCCCATGGGGCGGTGGGGCTGCTGTGGGCACAAGGGCTGAAGCCAGCCAGCAGGGCTTCGCCGTGCTGAGAGACGCCGGCGTCCCAGACCCGCTGGATGGAGGACTCCGCCGGGCACCGTGGGCATTTAGGACACAACGTGGGTGTCAGACCACACTCGAGAGGAAGGGCCGTATCCCAGGACAATTTCTAAATAGATCACCCTAGCAAAGAATGACACGAAAGCTAAAAGGATTAGATGGATTTGCTGGCGATTTGACTGCCTGCCAAAACAAAGTTTAATACCCTCTAAAGAAAGGCCGCATAATCTGGATTCCTTACTTATTCGGTAAGTGAAGAAGCAGGAGAATGTGACCCATGACCAAGAAAAACAAAAGCCGTCACCAGGAGCAGAGGCCGAGAGGCTGGAATTGGCTCTTTCGTTAGGGTCCCAGTCTGCTTCATAAACGCATTTGAGGACTTAAAGGAAAAGATGCACACAGTGATGGAGAATCGGCCGCGGAGTGGGAGCTCTGAGGGACCAAAATGAGCTTCCAGGACCGAAAGGTCCGTGGCCTCGCATCCAGATGGGTAGTCAGCTCACAAGACGCCTTGTCCTTGCTGCAGCACCCGGCGACTCAGCAGGACAGACAACGGTCCCGGGCAGCGTCTTCAGTGTCATCGTGCGACCCAGGAGGGACCCAGTGCGGCTTCCTAGCACCCTGCCCCTTCATGTGCAGGACGAGACGGGCCGAGTAGGTGCCCACAGAGGCGCCGCTCCCGTGGTTTCGTGAACGGCCTGAGGTCCGTGTGCCAGTTCGCAGTGCTCCTGGTCTGGGGTTGTCCGGGTCGGGGCTTCGCGAGGCTCCGCCGCTGTTTCTCGGGGAGGGCAGGGGACGATGGATACTCACTCGGTGACAAGAAGGAAGCGAACGCACAGACCTCAGAGGCGTGTCGAGTGAAGGCAGCATGGACGAGGGAGTGCGATTCACCCGGAGGTGCAGACGGCCCACGGGGACAGACAGATCGGCGACTGCTGACGAGGGCGGCGTCCACGTGCGGGGTGGGCGAGGCGCCCGGAGCCAATGAGGGAGACGCGCCGTCCGGGTCGCCGTGGAGCCACGTGGGCGTGTACGCTTGTCGGCACGCACGAGCTACGCTGTGCGGGTCACCGCGTGTAGAGTTTACGCAAATGAAAAGTGCATAATGCGATTTCCTGAGAGGTCTGAGCCAGTACCATAAAACAGAGGCAAAAGAAATCACCCGAATTCTCTTAGTTTAAAGAAAAATCTCAGGTAGCTAGACCAGCAGGTTGAAGACAGCTGAGCCTACACCCCACAGGGACTCGCGTTCACAGCAGCTTTATTCACAGTCACCCAGAGGTGGAAGCAATGCAGGTGTCCATCGACGGACGAAGGACAGGCAACACGCGGTCCGTCCACCCAAGGGAACAGCACTCGGCCTTCAAGGAAGGAGATTCCGACACAGGCTGCGACACGTGAATCTTGAGGACGTTATGCTGAGTGACGTAAGCCAGTCACAAAGGGACAAATGCTGTCTGATTCTACTTACAGTAGTCGAATCCATAGACACAGAGAGAACGGTGCTTGGCTGGGGGAGGGGAGATGGAGAGCTAGTGCTCAGCGGGGGCGGGGTTGTGACAGGTGACAGTTCTGGGGTGGACGGCGGCGATGGCTGCCCAGTGGTGCGAATGCGCTTAGCGCCATCCAGCCGTACACTTACGTGGTTAAAATGGCCACGTTCACGTCGCATGTCTTTTACCACGGAGGAGGAGAGAGAGAATAAAGTAAGCATCTTAAATGGCTTCTGCAGAAGAAAAAAATTAAATTAAGAAAGGAGAGTCCCACCGACGCCCGACCTCACCGTGCCGACGGTGGCTTCTCCAAGACAGTGACAGGGAAGCCACGAAGCAGCCACAGCAGCTAAGAAAGGAGAGTCCCACCGACGCCCGACCTCACCCTGCCGATGGTGGCTTCTCCAAGACGGTGACAGGGAAGCCACGAAGCAGCCACAGCAGCACCCAGCTGGGAGGGTATAATAAAGGCTGTGTGAGCCACGCGTGTTCAGCGGGGTCTTCAAACCCAAGTCTCTCTGTCATCAGAGACGTAAGCACTCACACGAGACGAACCCAGGAAAGAAGGAACACGAGATGTGAGAAATGGTGGCGAACAAACAAGCCGAAGAGACGAGTTGTTAATGCCCGGTGTTAAAAATGTGTAGACGTCGCCCGAAATGAAAGTACCAGGTCATGTCGACATTGGCAGGTTGAGGAAAGCAGAGAAAAGAAGTAAAAATGTTCCACAGGTATTTGTTTCTTTTCCATGAGAAAATGTAATCACTGGCCCCATGACATCGACAGAAAAATGCAAGTTTAAATACACGTGTATTAAGAAATGAAAGGTGAACACTGAGAGAACAGGAAGGGGGTGTGTGATCTTCTGAACCCCCAGAAGGTAGGAAAATGGAATTAAAGTCAGTTCAACTCAAACCTCACAGAGAGGAGGAGAAATCACGGGGGCGGGACTTGGGCCCTGGGGACAGGCAGAGGTGGCCTCTGTCACTGCGGCCGGGTGTCTGGCGTCAGGGCCCCCGTGACCGTGGGACGCGACGTCGGGGCGGCTGCCGCAGGATCGCGGTGCCTTCTGTTCCGGTGACGCGGAAACTGTTTTCTTTCCTCCCGAAAGCAGTTTAACACGAAAACGAAGGATGGCTTCACTGTGAGCACGAAAGTCCCCAGCCTCAAAGACCACGGGAAGGAACACGATGGATTCACCATCACCGTGACAGGCGACAAGTACGTACGCTTCCCCGAGTGGCCGCGAGGGCGCGCGGTGGCCGGCGCCGTGCGCATGGCCGGAGGTGTGATGGCGGGGCGCTCGCTGGGCCCACACGGCCCCGCCTGCGGGTGCCAGCTCCGGCCCGCTCAGTCTCGCAGCTCCGTAGACAGGAGCCTGACGGGGTTCGGGGACAGGCCCTGAGCCCGCCACAGGCGAGGCTCTCCCCCGACGACGTGAGCGACGGGACATGGCCGATCGCCAGCCGCTGCGAGAGTCTTTAGTGCAGGGTGGATGCGCTGCAGGGACAGCGTGGTCTCGGTGCGGAAAATGCAGCCCACCTGGGTGCCGGAGAGAAGCAATAAAGCCCCTCACGCCGTTTCCCTGGAAACAGTGATGCCACGCGTCTGAGCGAGGCCGGTTTCTCGTCTGCCCCTCCCGCTGCCGCGCGCGGTTGCTACTGCCCGGCGGTCCGTCTCATGCACGTCGCGGTCTCTCCTGCGGCTTCTCGGCTACGGCCGTGTGAGGTGTTCCCCATTTGTTCCCTTTGCGAGTAGCACTGCAGCGATCATGTTATTAGCCGTCGTCTTGTTTACATCTGAAATCCCGGCGAAGCCGGGAGCTCCGAGCCCCTTGCGTTTGGGGCAGACGCATGGCCCCCGCAACTCACCCGGCTCGCGGCCCGCACTCCCAGGCAGCAGGCGCCCGCCCTCGGCTCCGCGCACAGCGGGTACAGGCCCCCCAAGTCCGCTCAGTTCAGCAGCTCAAACCGTACCCCAGACCAGTCATCACAGGACTGTCCAGTAGAGCTCGTTCTCCCCCCGAAGGAACGTCAGGGTTCGCTGTGCCATGAATCGCCCCCTGCCCTGTCGCCCAGCGGCGACGCA